TACCAAAGTGGAGGGATGGGGAAGGACAAGTGGGGAGGGAGGGAGAAGGAGATTGAGGGGTATTGTGATTGGCACATATGGTGTGGTGGGGATCATGGGGAAGACAGTGTAGCACAGAGAAGGCAAATAATGACTCTGTGGCATCTTACTACACTGATGGACAGTGACTGCAAAGGGGTATGGGGGAGACTCGATAATATGGGTGAATGTAGTAACCAAATTTTTCATGTGAAACCTTCGTAAGAGTATATATCAATAATACCTTAAGAAAAAAATAAATAGCACATACACACACACAAAATCTGTTACAAAGATATTGAAATTTTAATTTTAATATATGAATTCTTTTTTAAGATGTGGAGAATGTTTTCTTCTTTCCAGGATGTTATTCCTAGAAAAACCTGTAACCAACCTTGAAAGATAAAGTTATCTTTGCAAAATTCTTTTCCTTGGTCCATGATTCCGAAAATTGACTGACTGGTTTACAGAGGGGTGAAAGACACAATTCACTTTGAATAGCTTCGGTAATGTAGATGGGAATCTTACAGGATTCTGGGAACAGCTGTAGTTGGACCTCACAGTTATTGAATGCAAACACTGGAAATGGTGTGATTTTGTGCAACTGTAGGAAATGGGTTATCTCATTGTCCCCTCAACAGCCAGACTTCATTGATCCTAATCTTTATTACAGTGACTCATTCTACTCTGTCTCTACTTCTCTCCTTTGTTACCAGTTACTTCATCCTCTACTTTATATGTCAATTCTCTGCCTAATGGCTTCAGTTTATCCATAACTTGTCCTACTTAGTGCTTCTTAGGGGAATTTTCTACTGCCTGACATTTTTAGCTTCTGCTCCCACCACATGATTGATGTTCTCTTCACATTTCCAGTTCAAATTCTTGAAAGAGAACAGGTCTTGGTAGGCACCGTCATCCCTATTTGGGTGGAGTGTTTGCATATGAGGTATCTCTTATGCATGGCTGTCCTTGGGTCATATGATTCTATGAAGGGGGTTATATGGCACAGATCATAGCTCAGGCTGCTGCCTTGGCTGGGGACACTGGTTGGGGAAGCTCCATTCAAAGGGGAATGTGGCTCAGCAAGACAGAATGACCTCTTAGGCACATTCTTTTTCTTTAGATTTTTTGAAAAAGATACATTTTAACATACTTACCAGTAAAGTAACATATTTTTCATGTTGTTTTTTTTTTTTTTGAGAAAAATTTCTCCTGACTCTTTCGTTTAAAATAATCACATTACATAGAAACAAAGAGTAGATTGGTGGTTGCCAACAGCTGGAGGCTAGGGGAACTGGGAGATGCTTGTCAAAGGGTACAAATTTCTAGTTAGAAGATGAACAAGTTCTGGGTATATGATGTACAGCATGGTATCTATAATTAACAATAGTGTATTGTATACTAGAAAGTTGCTAGGAGATTAGATCTTAGAGGTTCTTACTACACACACACACACACACACACACACACACACACACACAGAAAAGGTAACTATGTATGAGGTGATGGATGTGTTAACTAACCTTTTGTAGTAATCATTTCACAATATATATTTATATAAAATCTTCACATTGTACATTAAGCTTCTCAATAAAACTGAGGAAAATAGTCATGTGACCTGTTTTCTAGCTGACTTTAATAAAAATATATTGAGCTAAATTTTTTCTTAAAGCTCCTGAAATTTAATATCATAGGGAAAATGTTCATGCTTTACGAGGTTCAACCAGCATTTTAATAAACTTATTTGCAAGAAGGTAAATACATTTTAATAGTTAATGTAGAATTGTGCTTACAGATGTGAGAGACTATCAAGGATGGGTAGGGAAGGTCTGAAATACACTGAGTTTCAAAAAGTAGGTAAAAACATTTCTCTTTTGAAACAAAATGTTCTCAGGCATTTTCCTGTTGCTTTGCTGCTGAACTATAAATGGTTATGGGTAACGGTTAACTGCAGACTGTTATTGTTGAAAATTATTTTTATCTGCACAAATTGTGATGGAAAAGAGTGGATTACAAACATAAATTTGTGTTTTGGTTTAACTCTGACTTAACTCAAATTGCCTTCTTTATCATCTTACCACTGCAAAATGGGAAGTGAAATCAGGCAATAAACTGCTTCCTGTCTTTTTGCAGAAAGGAAACAAATGCTTAAATACACATAGGCAGCCTTCAATCTTTCCCCATTCAATCCAGCTATTCAGAGTTCTGATTTAGCTTTAATAAAATGTTATGATGTCATTCCCTAGTTCTCAACCCTGGGTGTATGTTAGAATCACTTGGGAAGCTTTTAAGATAAACCTTATATCCAGGCCCCAGTCTCCAATTTTCTGATTTATTTGGTGTGGGTGTGTTTTGGGCACTGATAATTTTGAAAGGCAGCCTAAGTAATTCTAAAGAGGAGATAGGAAGCCGCTAGGCAGAAGGATAGAATGTAAACATTCGAGTTTGCATTCAAGGCACTCTATTATCTATCCCTAATCCAGTTTGCCAGGCTCCGGCCAACCCAAATGTCCCCCATGCCCTCTGTACATCGCTTGTGCTTCCCCTCTTCTGTTCCTTTTCCAGGCATTCTAAGAGTTTCCTCCTCACACATTTTTTTCAGATTCAAATTACTATCCATTTTTAAAGACCTGGCTGAGTTTTTACCTCCTCCAGGAAGCCTTTCTGGGCACCCTTGACTGGAATGTTTACTCCCTCTTCAGAACTCACACAGTTATTAATGTCTAAAAAATTATCTGAACAAGCCAGTCATGTTCTCCTTTGTGTCATCTCTTCTATTGTTGTATTAAATAATTAATTTTTACTTAACTTTTCACTTGTTTGCTATCCAGCTACCTACATGGTAAGCTTCTTGTCTTTTGCATTTTTGGTAAGCTGACTGCCTTACATACTATAGGAAGTCAATGAATATTTGCTTCTCCCTTTCAGACCCACTTCCACAGGTGTGGTTAAGGTCTTCATCTCTTCTGGAGTCTTGCTGTGTTCCCAGTTGGCCTTTCTAACACCAGCCTCTCTGGCTCCTTAAATTGGGCTGGCATATCGTTATGTATAATCCTCTGCTCACTCTAGCTCTGTCCCTATTTTATGATCTAGCTGATCCTTTGGCTTTCTTTCCCTTTCTGGACCCTCATTCTCCTACTCCCTTTTCTGCCAGGACTTGATGGCAGAATTCAATTTCTTGGGTTTTGACTGCTTGCGTTCTCCAAAATGACAGCGTATGACATTCTCTCTGGATCTTCCTGTTCCCATCCTTTGGGTAAACACGTCCCTAGCCAGGCTCTGGCCCAGCCAATCTAAAGTATTCTGCCAGTCTTTCAACAGTACACTGGTCTGATCTGTCAAGATTCTCCTCAAAGAAAACAGACACTTTCTTACACTGTCTGTAGGATTCTCACCCTTTAAAGGAATCCTGATTGTGTTGTCCACATGATTAGAAGCTTCTGCTGATCCCTCATTTGCCTGTAGAATTAAGTCGAAACCAGAGCTGTCCAATGTGGGAGTTATTATAATTAAAATAAGAAACTCAGTTCCTCAGCTATGCCATATTTCAAGTATTTGATAGGCACATGTGGCTAGTGGCTATCTATTCGTACAACACATACAGACACATTTCTATCATTGCAAAAAGCTCTGTTGGACAGTGCTCATCTAAATACCCTAGTGTAGCTTTTGATGTCTTCTTAAATCTCATTTCAACCTTTTTTGCTCTAGCTTAATTTTAGCTGCTACTCACCTTTAAGCCCCACCCACTTTGTCTATGTTCCCCAACCACTCTGTGCCCTTTCAAAACTGTATGCGTTTGATCATGCTGTTCTTTCTTCCTGAAATGCTTTGACTTTCTTCTCTGGCAAACTCTTATTTACCTTTTAAGATCCAACTCAAACAGCACCTTCATTGTGAAGTTCCTTGACTTTGCTAAACAGTAATTTCTTCCTCTGTGTTTTCCTTGCTCATCGATCCTAGTTCTGTTGCCCTTATCATCATGTTTTGTTATTATTTGCTTATAATTCTGGCTATGCTCTTGGAAAGCGGATTCTGTCTAATTGTTTTATAGATCTGTCCTAAAAATTACTTGAAATTGTTTGCTTGGTGCCTTTTTTATATCAAGTAATATATTTTAGTTATGTTCTTGTTAATTATGTTTGGCATGTTTGGAAAGATCATGTGATACTTTAAAAGCCCTCCACCTATTTAGTGTAAACCTAGAATGACTTCCTGTCTTCCAAGTGGAAAGTCCATTTTTCTTCTAATTAATTCTGATTGGATTTGAGAGGGATGTCGTAGCAGCAATTGAGGTAAAAAACAGATGGACTAAATGTAGGAGCTAGTTTAGATGTGCTCAGGTTCCACGAGTTATACAAAATAATGTGTTTTGGGGAGAAAGGTAGGGAGGGAAGATGGGAAAAAATAAGAGGAGCCCATAGAAAGAAAATTAAGGAATTGCGTTTGACTTTGTCCAGACTAATGGCAAAAGCAATGGCGTAATAAGATGGTAAGAGTTTTTATTACCATTTTGCAAAAACGTACATTTTTTTCCTCCAGGAATATAAGATTTTAATAAATTTTTGTGACTCGAATTATTGAGAAATAATTCCTCTTGACCGAGGAATTAAAATATCAGTTAGTTCCTCTTCTGTGGTTATGGTTAAAATCACTCCAAAAGGCTTATTTTCTTCTGAGGGCCCCAAATCCTGAAGGTTCAGTCTAAGAGACCACTGCTCACTACCCGCTGGAGGCTACCGCAGATCTTACAGTCAATCATTGTCCCTTGGAAGCCCCGACTACGCCCATTGCTCAGACCACGCCTACCTAAAATCGTCCTCCCTCCTACCTCGTGGCTCCGCCCCAGGCCTAGCAGAACAAGATTAGCATTGGTGGAGAAGTTGTCTGGTCCCGCCCCAGAGGACCGCGATAGGCCTAAGAGGTGTGGGGCGGTAGTGGTTGGCTGCCTGGAGACGGGTCCTTAGTCGTGTCTGTCAGAGTGGCTGGCGGCAGTGGCGGCTCTCGGGGCTGGGCTGTCAGTCCTCGAGCGGAGGGGAAGATGGCTCGCTGAACTCCGTTCTGCTAGGAAGAAGAAGGGCAGGTGGTGCTGCTACTCGGGAGAAAGCAGAGCAGCCGCCGTCGCTGTCGCTGCAAGCCAGACAAGTCGAGGTTCCGTAGGTGGAGCTCGGGAAGCCGCTCTGGTGAGTCCGGCAGAGTGACCCACGCCGGGCCCCCGGGGCAGCCGGCGACCGATAACTTTTTTGTCTGGGAGGAGCTGGGGTTAGGCGGCGGCTGGGAAGGGACCGTGACTTTGTCCCCGGGACGGCGCCTTCGTTGGGGTAACGGCTCCCTCGCGAGGCGCCGCGGGTGGGCGCGCGAGAGCTCCGGGCGAGGGGGGCGTCTGGGAGGCGCGAGCGGGCGGGCGGGGTGAGTGGGCTGCGGCCAGCGCTGCTCGCCGCGAAGTTAGGCGCAGCCCGCCTGCTGCCTGGGCGGCAGCAGCTTTGTGAGCGCGGTTCGGGTCTTGCTCCTCCTGGCAAAGAGCGGTCCAGACTCCGGGCGTTACCCGGGTGCAGCCTCCTCCGCCCGAGCGGCAGCCCCTTTGCGGGGTAGGCCTGGAATGGGATTCCCCCGACCCCCACCCCATCGTGGCTGATGCTCCGGCCTGGCCTCGCCCACCCCTCCCGCCCCCGCAAGTCCTCCGCTATGCGATCAGCTCAGTGGCCAAAATGGTCACCGCCGACCCCCGTAGCCTTTGAAGGCAGCGTTCTCCTCGGTCTTTGGCCCCCAGCAGGGCGGAGAGATTAAGAAAGCAGCCAGGATTCCTTCCTTGGTTATTACAGTAGAGATTCCCCTCTGCAGCCCTTGACCTCCCTTCTTTCTATGAGTTACTCCTCTCCCGAGGCTGATTTTAACTACTTAAGAATCGTCGGGGTTTTGTGTGAAAATTATTATATTAAAAGACCCCAAATTTGCACGCTTCAGCAAAACCGGGTATCCACCCTTCAAGCGTGCACAGGTTTGCCTCTTACCCTCTAAGTTGGGACATTCCTAAAGGATTTTAATTTTGCCCTAGTCTTTTGTACTGCACAGAATCCGCTCTCTGATAAATACACTATCACGCCCCGCAGCCGCTCGGCTCTTCAGGTAGGAGGGAGTTTGTTTCCCTGGCAGCTACAACTTATCTCAGACCATTCTACAGGCTTAGGACCAAGCTGTCCTTTTGCAAATTATTTGTCCTTTGAGTCGCACGGCAGGTTTCGGAGCAGATATGCCACCTGTTTGGTTCCTGAGGCATTTTACAGTTTGAGATTTTCAGCTTTCAAAATATTATCTGCATAAAGTCATAAGGCTTGATGTAACCTGGAGTCAGTGTGATAACCCTGGGAGGGTTGTTGTGGAACACATTCTACTAACATCCACAGCTCCCCCGCCCCAATTTCTAAGCATCTTTTCTTTTGGTTAATACATTTTAAGGTTTACAAGATGAATATTAGTACAAAGCACCAAATTTTTTTTTTTAAAGAATTCCAAGTATTTTTACTGTAAGACAGTTGTCATAAGGAAATTTGGATATTTCGGTAACACAAAACATTCAGTAACAAAGTTTAGCATCATTTTTTTTTTTTTTTTGAGAGGGCATCTCTCATATTTATTGATCAAATGGTTGTTAACAACAATAAAATTCAGTATAGGGGGGTCAATGCTCAATGTACAATCATTAATCCATCTCAAGTCTAATTCTCGTCAGTCTCCAATCTTCTGAAGCATAATGAACAAGTTCTTACATGGAAAGCACCATATTTTTGAAGGGCTGGGAAGGGCAAGAGAGAAAAATATCTTTAGGATCTGTTTGGCCAATAGTAGCTTCAAGTCAGTCAAATGATTCATTTAAATAAAGTGGCATGGGGGAAAACTATCATTTGAAAACAAATTCTGGATTTGGTTTACTTTATACTTAAAAAAAAAAATTTACAATTATTACCATAGAGGGATTATAAACCCTCTTAGTTATCAGCACTAACAGCACCTGGATATGGACACCCAGATGAGGTGTTGGTTAGGTTAATATTTTATCCCTGCTGTGTTGTACTTCTACTTTCTGATATCTGCTTTTGGTTGCATTTTTTAGAGTGGTGTTTCGAAAGAGTTCAAATATATCTTATAGTCAACTATTTTATTCAGGATCCTGTTGCCTGATATTTATTTTATAAAGAATGTTAAGAAATCTCTAACAAATATTGGTATCAAGATCATTTTGGGGGTATCAAGTTTACATTTTGTAAATAGTTGAAATTATGTCAAGCAAATTTATTTTGCACTGCCTTAAGCTGAAGAGGTACTAGGATACAGAAATGAATGTTGGAGCTCTTGTCATCAGGGAATTTACTCTCTAATGTACAAGAAAGATAAGTGAAATAACAATTATAATACCATGTAACAAGTGTGAGTAGAGGAACGCCTAGTGTAGTAAGGGAGCTGAGTAGAAGATGGCTAACATGGCTTGGATGAAGGTAGAGTCAGGAGCACACTGTAGAGTTCTGAAGTATAATATAATTTTGCCAAGTGCAGGAAGTAAGTTGGTAGCTTTCCAGAGGAGAATATAATAAGTGAGAAGGCAAAGTTACATGGAAAACCATGGAAGTTTAGAGAAGTTATTGCCAATGACAAGTCCAAAGTCAGTAGTAACATTGACATTAACCTGCCTTGAATGAAGGGGTTAGATAGGGAAATGGGTGGTAGAAGATAATAGTGAGGAAGGCAGAGGGTCAGAATGTATGGCACTGTATCCTTGGCTAAGGTGATTGGATTGAAGGTGATATATAAGCCATTTAATGGATTTGTGTTTTAGAACCTTGCCATGACAGACTGAGGTAGAATTTGATAGGTCCTGCCACCTTTGGGAGGAAAGAAGGAAGAATCAGGATCTTGAGGGTTTGACTTGGTTCTATTGATTGGAAATGAAGAACACATAAAGGGACAATGATGAATTCTGTCTTGGATTTTTTGAATTTCAGGAAGCTGTGGAGCATGCAGGTGAAGATGTAGACAGATGTTCGGATCTGTGGATATAAAACTTAGAAGTTATGATTAGAGGGAAGTTGGGGGTTGAATTGAAACTATTGATTTGGTTATGTTGAAATGACTCAGGGAAAACCTTTAGCATGAGAAATGCAGCAGCCAGATGACAGACTGATAAAAAGCAGAAATAGACAGAAGAATAGTGTGAAATAGATAGAAGAATAGTAGTTAGAAAGGCAGGAGGAACATCAAGAAAGATGCTAAGGATGGATAGATTTTAAATAGAGGGAAATGGGTCAACAATTTGAAGGCTGTGAAGAAGTGGCAAGTAAAGAGAGGTCTCTAGGGACCAAGGAATAGGTGACTTTAACATGTGCAGTTTTAGCTGAGTGGTGGTTTGGAAACCAGTCTGCAGAATATTAGGAAAGAATGGGTGATGATAAAGTAGGCACGCTTGAGTGAGGCATTTCAGGAACACTGAAGTAAAGAAGGGAGAGAATTATAGCTATAGAGCAGTGGTTTGCAATCTTAGCTACACATTTACAATTATCTGGGAAGCTTCTAAGAATCCTGATTTCCAGGAGAACCCCCCCATACCAATTTGGGAGATGGAATCTAGGCATCATTATTTATTTCAACAGCTTTATTGCAGTATAATTGGCATGTAATAAACTACATATATTTAAAGTGTGTCATTAATATTTGACATAGGTTTACACTCGTAAAACCATCACCACAATGAAAATAATGACCATATGCATCATCTTCAAAAGTTACCTTGTGTAATTTCTTCTTCTCATCCCCAGGAAATGCCTGATCTGTTTCCTATTACTATAGATTAGTTGCATAGGTATTTTAAAGTTCCCTGGGCAATTCCAGTGTACAGTCCTGGTTGAAAATCACTGCAGAGGGATATAGGTTGAAGGAATGTTATGTTTGTTTTTTTACAAGCATAAGGAAAGAAGAGATTCAGGAAAGGTGAGATATTTATTAGAACGCCTAGTGTAGTAAGGGAGCTGAGTAGAAGATGGCTAACATGGCTTGGATGAAGGTAGAGTCAGGAGCACACTGTAGAGTTCTGAAGTATAATATAATTTTGCTTAGTAAGGGAGCTGAGTAGAAGATGGCTAACATGGCTTGGATGAAGGTAGAGTCAGGAGCACACTGTAGAGTTCTGAAGTATAATATAATTTTGCTAAGTGCAGGATGTAAGTTGGTAGCTGAGGAGATAGATGTGGATGGAATTCAGAGCTTTGACCAATAAGAAAGGAAGACTATTCTGAAAGCAACATCTTTAACAAAGAATATGTTGTTAAAGATAGTATATTTCTTTGTTAGCAGAAGCAAAGTTATCAACTTGTAGTATCAAGAGATTAGATCTCTGAAGTACTCAAAAGAATTAGAGAGCCCCTCTAGTTGTGAAATGGATGCCCCTCAGGAAAGCCCCTCTCACCCACCATGTCATACTTTGTTATGTCTCGGAGGAAGCAGATGGAATTGACAGTTTGACTATTGCCTCTTGTTGAGAGCCAAATACTAACAGAGTCTTTTTGGCACTCTCAGAGTTAGGCTGCATATCTGCACTGAGGAAAGAAAACATTTACCATTTGAAAAAAAGCTCCTGTTTGTTTAAGCATCTTTGTTAAGAAGAAATCCTGCTTGCTTACCCTTTGGATATATGCCTTTTAAATATATTTCAGAAGAAAATCATTCCTCTGTCTCCCAAATGAGACAGAGAGTGCTGTGATAGAACTTGTCGAAGGCCCATACTTCCTGTTCTGAGAAAGGTAATACTTATATTTCACTCATTCATTTTTTTTTTCCCCATTTCTGACTCAGGATTTGGATGTAGGTGAAAGCTGAACCTGGCTGGTTCTGTGGTCCAGGGCTTTCTCCTCACTCTTGATTCTTATCTTTGACAGGAGCTGAAGGCAGATTGCCTAATATATAAATATTATTTAAAATTGTCATTGATCATAAATAAAGATGGAATGAGAACTTGTCTGTTTTCTAGAGTTCTGAATATTTCTTTCATTGTGATTAAAGTATCAGAGTATGATCTAAAGAGGTAGGCATCCCTAATTTTGGTACAGCCTGAGTGAGAATATCAGTGCTAGCATGATTTTAGATACTATTATTACTATAGTAATATTGTGAACATTCTGTATTTTCTTAATCTAAA